TAGACAACATTAGATATTGTAGTTAAGTAATATGAATTTTAGATAGTTATATGAATATGAAGCATTCAGATACATGCATGCATCGATATACTTTTATTTACTGTCTACATCGATTAAAAATGAACTTTATCTATATACATATATATTCTTGCGTTGAAAATTGAATTAGCATTCCTTGCAAACTTCTACATGATAAATCAGGATAAACAATACAATTGGATAGGAGATTGTTTTGTATACAAAAATAAGTGAACGTATAGAAAAAATTGTTTTATATGGTGTTTCACTTTCGAGAAAATAGAATTAAAAGATTTACCAAATACACATGCATTTAAGTTTAGAATAAGTAAAAGTGCTTAAGAATGAATACATATATTAATTAAATTAATTCAATAGTATGTATATCAACATATATTTTAATTTGATATTTTTAGAAATGAAACATGAAAAAATGTTCTTTACATTTTCGATTTACCTTTTGTACATGAAATAGCCATCTATCTGGTTGTACCACTAATTCTATTCATTTTATATATGTTGATAACTGTGCACATATTAGTGTCTCCTTTTCTCAATGCTTTCTAAACTTTATACATGATCGCTATACACCAAATATAAAGTTATAATGTAAGAATACAATTAGATGAAGTAATACAGCATTTTTAATTGTGGAATCCAGAGATATTTTTTAAAAATATTATATATATACATTTATCGTGAAACAAGTGGTTGTAGATAAAATTGAAAAGTACTATTTTATCTTGTTAAAATTGAGCGATTTTTTTCTTTCATTCATCGTACACTAATTAGATATACGTTAAAATTTTGAAATATATTGACGATAGATAAAGCGTAAGAAATAAGAATTTTATTTTGGTATTTATACATACTTCTTCGTTTTAAAGAGGTATTTAGTCAAACAGATATGTTATAATTGAATATAATTTTAAATGTTTTCGAAATTACATTCAATTAAGAAGCATTTATAAAAAGTATTTGTGTTAAAATTGGCATTGAAATGTATTGGCCTTTTTAATAGTTCATAATGAGAAAGCAAACGTAGTCATTGTACGCATGTAATTTGTAAATAAAGTTTAGAACCCGCGTATTTAAATGTATTACAATAATATACACTGAACAAAAAATACCAATATATATATATATAATTGATACAATATATATATTGATACAATAACTTATAATAATAACATTATTATTGTAAGAAATATATAATGAAACACATAACATAAAACACACAGTAGTAATTTATTTAATTACTTCATGAATTCAATCTATAAAAGGAATCAAAACAAGTTTTTCATCGTGATTAGTTCCTTATGCAATTGAGAGAAGAACACAGATTTATAAACATCACATAAACATATTATAGATGTAACTAAAGGATCAATACATTAATGTAATGTAATCAAGCAGTGATACAATTATTAATTTAATGTTAACCGTCATCGATTTGATATAGAATTTGTAAAATTTTGTAAAAGCTTTACACTTCTTGAATGACTTAGCATTCAATACATAGAAAGAGAATTATTTTAAAAATAGTGAACACACGTACAGTTAATTACACAGATTCAAATTTTATAGGATGTATAAGGTAATATTATAACATTAATATTCTAAAAAAATCATACTGTAACTTAAGTTACATGTACATTGGAAACATATCTGTAACTTAAGTTATAATTAAAAGTTAATAATACGCGGTTACTTTACATTGAAGTTATTTTTTCCAATTGTAATCTGTTGAAATTATAATTCTGATCCTACTAAAATGTGCCTATTATATAAACATATTCGTCTTCGATATGCTATGTTGACAAACTCTCAAAGAACATTCATAAAAAAAATATTTATCGTATATACGTGAAGAATAAAGTTTGTTGCGTGTTCTCAAGGAGAATTAAACATATTTAAGATATTGAAGAACCATTAGGTTTAAAATTTCTCAGAGCATATAATTCTATAGTAGTTGCTAAAAAATCTTTAGAAATAAAACAAGAATCAAACCAAATAAAAATTCTGTATCTCGTATATGAAGAAAAAAAAAATTAACAAATTATATTACATTAGTTATACTTGACTATCGTTAATGGTATAACAAACATTTAATAATAATATTGGTATTACACATATCTAGTTCGGTAGGAAGAAATTTGTATATGTATTATACCGTACAGTACTTACACATGTGACAATTTCATATACCCACAAGTAATACATATGTATGTCAAACCAAATGGAAATGGTATCTGTAATTTACAGTATACAAATAATGAATGTTAATGTTTGTATTTTCTACATAAGTAAGATAACAAAGTAAAAAACTCGTTTAGATCACTTTAGAAATATATATGATATAATACCTGACTATGTAACTGGTCAATAGAGTAAAATCAATTGGAAGTAGAATTCACTGTTTTAAAGTTTGTTTTTTTAATTAACTTTGTCATTTAATTTTGCTTTAATAATGTTAAATATTAGTGACTATATAAATATTATGCAAAACCTAGACTTAAAAAAGATATTGTAGAAAGAAATTACGTGAAAGTGCCAAAGAAAATAACAGGTACAGTTAATAGAATAATGTATATATCCATGGAAGCAGGTTAAATGATTTATTTGTAATCTGACAATTCGTTTATATTATTAATTATATTAGTGATTTCATTAGGATAATTGTAATACTTTTGAATACATTATCACTGTTATTAATACGCAAGTTTTGATGCCTTAATATATATGGAACTGAAGTATAGTTTATTGTAATCAGTTCTTTAAAAATAAATGGTAATGTTCTCAAAGTTACTGCCCTTTCAATGCTTATATATATAAACCATCTTTAATACATCTTTTAAAACGCAAATATAATATTAGCCTCATCATATAAAAGTAATTCTAATTTCAAAAAGTGTGACATTAGTTGTGTATATTTAAAATTTTATAATGGTGTAATAAGAATATGGAAGATGAGGTAGTAACTCTGTAATATTTCGATTTTTGACACCGGATCAGTTTTAAACTTCGGTTATTTTCAACCAGCATCCTATTACACCATCGATGCCTTACCACAAACAATGGAGTTTGTACAATATGTAAAAAATAACAGTATTGAAGGGTACATATAATATGATAATCAGCACCATTTTAATAAAATTATGTTTTCACATTGTAAAATTGGGTGTATCAAATACTTTATACATGCAAGACAGAAAGTGATGAAAAAAATTCGAAGTACTTTCGTCATTTCGAAACTTACAAAATAAATTAAGATTTTTAAGATTCAAACAGTTGACTAGGACGCTATAAATCTACATTATTTAAGTTGGCTGCTGACCCTGTTGGCAAATCTGATGGTACAAACTTACCAATAGGTTGTATCGCTTGTCGTTGTTCAGCTAATTTGCGCATTTCTTGTCTAAGCTTACTTAAGATGGCGTGATTCGGTTGATTTACCGCGGCTTTACCTTGCAAAAGTGTAATTTCTTGTTCTAGCTGTTTCTTTTCTTTAAAAGACTTTACACTACGAGATCCATACAACCTTAACAAAGAACCCCAAGACTGGATATGAGGATGCATAAGTTGCAGAATTGCTTGTGCCGCACGTTGTTTACCATCTTTTTTGTTACGACATACCTAGAATACATTATTAATCATTAAACTATAATTTAATTAAGTCGAGATAATATTAATAAGAATGACAATTTATATTTTAGTTTCATTCACTGATTCGTAACTATAAATATTTTAACAGCTGTCTTGAATATGAATCACTTAATTATAAACGAAATTATGTAAGTACTTTAAAAAATGTTGCACAGAATATAGAGTGCAGAAAGACTGTACAATAACAAACTAAAAAAGTATAAAATGATTAGATGAATTATACTTATTTCTAATTAACATACTACTTACAACAGTAGCTTCATGTTTTCCAACACGCATTGTGAATTCATTACGCTGATGCTTCAATGTGTTCACAGAATAATTAATATGCATATCGCCCAGTCCATAATTTCGTTGCAGACATGTAATTAAAATGGCGTGTGGCGATGGTTCAGTTGTTTTTGCACAAAATTCTGCGACTCGTGGATCAGTTATTGAGATTTCATCGAAGAATGATAGATCCGCATCAGAATTTGTTCTGGATGCTTTAATCATCCGACTGTTGTTGCCTGATGCTGTATCTCCCCCACTATCGCCAGAAATTTTATCTCTCATTTGAGGAATTAATATTTCTAAAGTTTTACGAGCGGCGTTAGCTTTCGCTTGCTTTTTGCTACTACCAAAGCCGCTCCCATATTCCATATCATTAATACAAACAACAGCAGAGTACGGTGTTGCAGCATTTTCTGAAATTGATTTTCTAGTTTTGTTAATTGTTTTCTTTGAGATGGTACAATTTAAAATGTAATTCGTTATATAAAAATTGTTTTTTTCATCAACATACCTAATTCTTTAAATTTGTAAGTTGGTTGTTTCTTAAGCGCGTGTTGCACGTATTCATGAAGTATACAAACGTAACTTTTTCCTGAAGGATTCATTATCCAATGCTTCGGTGGTCTTTGTCCACCATTATCATCTCCTGTGACGCCACTACTATTTCCTGTCAAACTAGAACTACTAACTGGAAATGTTATTAACTTTGTTCCGTCAGGTAACGTTGGTCGTTCCAATTGTTTACGATGTTTCTTATTTTTCGTGAATTTCCTTCTCGCTGACCATGACCTATAACGATAAACAACCTGATATGATTCCAAAAGGATTACTACGAGTTAGACATTATTGTAAACATACTTACTGAAATCTCATTACTTTAATAGCTTTAAAACGAAAGAGCGATTGACAATAATTTCTCAATTGTTCACTATCTAAAGAATGAGCTGCCCGATTTTCTTGGATTGTTTCAATTTTTGCGCTAGGCAAACTACATACTTCTGTATTTGGATCACGTTCCTTCTCTTTCTTTCTTTCTTCCTCTTCTTCTTGAAGAGCTCTTTTATACTGAAGACAAGGTATAGCACTTACAGGTACTTCATGTTTTCTGACACTACCAGGTCCAAGAAAATATGGTTTTGCAAGGGTACAAACCCTACTTTGTTTATGAAGATACAAAGGCATCCCACTATTATGAGTCACTTGCACCCAACTCTCAGGAAGTACATCAAAATGATTGTGGCCAATTTCTATAAAAAGCATTTCACTGTAGAAACATAATATTTCGTTTCTTTTATCGCATGAAAATATTAACTCAGATCTTGCTTGTTTATGCTATACACATAGATAGTTATAAATATTTAAATGCTTACCATCCAAAACAAGCTTCTCTTTTTCTTCATATGGCACACTATCTTTCTTGTCTTTTCTTTTGCCTTTAAATTCCTCTGGTAAACCTAATAGTAGCATATAATACTTGAACTAAAAAATGTTCACTACTGCTGTACAATCTATGCAAGAAGTAGAAAAAAAAGAACAAATAATCTTTTCCTTTTACTAACTTCATTTAACACTTTTATCCACGCGTTTTATATTCTTTCATGTATTGTACTTTCAACATCTCTCAGAATTTCTCTTTCAAGCTTTCAATATGAAAACGTGTAATGTAAATTTCAATAACTTAATTCTTTATTTGATTGACAATTACCTTCTTCTAACATCGCTTCAATTTCTTCATCAGGTACATCAGAATCCATACTTTCATTTGTATCTGAGTCCATATCTGAACAGTTTTGATCTGGATGACGTTCTAAATCATCCAAAACATCAAACTGCCTTAAATCATCTGTAGCTGTAATGCTGTCTGTATTAGATTCCATAATATAGTCTTCCATGGTTGAGCTATTACACGCATTTGTATCAAAAACTGATACAGTTTCTTCTTCCATTATTTGGCTGCATTGATTGATTTCTGACATTTTATTATGGATGTCAATACTTCTTTCCAATATATCTTTCATTTCTGATACGTTTTCATTCGTTAAAACTGCATCCTGATGATTTTCTAAAATCTTCTCATCTTGCAAATTCATATCCAATTCTGGCATTTCTTCAAGTGCTTCTTCCTTCTCCACATCCATTATTGTATAACAAGGTATCTGCTAAAATACTATAAGGTCTAATAATCAGTGATACATAAGCTCGACAATACAACAGACGTCTAACTTCTTTTATTAGATAAAATGTATATTTATCAACGATTGACAAACATTTGAATATTGCTTAAGAAAGAGATATTTAATGTTAATTGTAAACTCCATACGTAATGACTCATAGATTAAATAATATCACACGCGTTGTATGGCCACACCACTTTCACCAATGAGGCCAAAGTCCAATCGATTTGAAACCACTTTGAAAATGGCAACGAAAATTGGACATTTGCATTAGTGTTAGCAGTTCGGGGCCTATTATATATCCATGAGTACGTATCACATAATTGATATATTATAGCGTTTGAATATTGTAGAGGTTAGTTGACACGATTCCTTGTATTATTTAGATGGTTAGCTAAACAGGAACAACATTGAAAAATTGAACCTGTTACTAACTTAAATTCTGGTTTAATGTGTAATAATATTTCGTTAAAATAGTCTAATAGAAAGATAATATAGATTGTGTTCGATTTTTAATATTTCATTTCATGGAATTAATTAAACTAAATATTTAGAATATAAAAAATATACATTATAAAAGCTATGTAATTAATCATATTAAACGTTTAAAATACAATAAAGACACTAAATTCCGCATATTTAGAATACATACCACTAAGAAGATTTCTACTGTGAACAGACTGGATTTTATTCATTTGTAAGATTTATGTGTGATTATAGAAAATATAGTAAAATGAAAACTATGCTAAATTAGTAATAAAAAATTGCTATATTGAATACATACATTACTAAACTGAAATTGAAAATGAAGATTATAATTCTAAAAATAGTGATCTTTACATTTAATATGTAAATTTTATAATTAATACTAATCAATATTATCATCGATGTCATACAATTTCATAATAATACCTTTATTTATGTATATCACAACAATGTAACTTCAGTAAATTATAAACACTAAATAGTTCTCCAACAATAAAATTTTCAAAGATAGGTTAGGTGCCATCTATAAATTAATAGTTTTATCTATTATTATTTGTAGTATTAGTGGTTATACAAATCTTTTATATCAATTTTATTTCAAGCACATAAGCACAAACACTATTTAATTATTATAAATTAACATTGTATATTTATTTAAACTTTAACTACATTTCATAACAGCAATATCATCCTCATGCGTTTTCTACAAAATAGAAAGGAAACTCTCAGAAATTAATTTAAAGTGCTATCTACCTTCTTAATGTAGAAGCTTCTATAGCTGAAGTAAAAATTTTGTCTGTGCTTCTATGTCATGAAAACGATAAAATAAAAAATCGTTTAAACAGAATAATTAAATTCATGCGAAAATCACAGAAAGTTTTCAACAACCACTATCTCAAACAGTTCTTTAAGCCTTTAAAGTTTCGTGTGAAGAAGATAAATAATTGTAAGAATTACATATTTTAATTTCCAATAAAAAAATTATTTTAATAAGTAAAATTTTATAGAACATTATTTGATAATAAATTACTTTTATATAGTTCATCAAAGTTCAAGGAAGAGAGTTAGACGATGAAAATAAATCTTTTGATGATGTTTATATGTAAAATATAACTATTTCCATTTTGCGACGCAGTCCGGCAAACCTTCGTAAAAAAATAGTGACGAATATCAATTTAATAGGAAAGATAAAATGATCATAATTATTTATTTACTTTTGAGCGTTTTGTGTTTCTTTCCAAATTTTAGCAAATTATCAGAGAAATGTTGTACTCCCTTTTTATTAAGAAATTTTTAATTCTCCAAAAATCCAATTAAGAGAAATAAAAAAAGTACATTATTTAACCAATGTAGATACTTTATAATTTTCCTGTGATTTGATTTTTATTTCTTTTAATCTTCTTTTTCATAAAATAGTTACGAGAAATGTTTTTATGTATAATTCTAAGTATAGGTTAATCAAATATATTTTGAATTTGACTATACACTTTATTTAGAATAAAGTTGATGTTTACAAAACCAAACCAATAACAGAAGTCTTTCATTTTTATTTAATGATAATTATAATAATATTACACGAAAAAATGATTGATCTATAATTATACATTACACGAATTCTTCACTTTATTTAAAATATAATAGGTACATTTAAATCTTTTTAAAAATAACGACTGTAATTAGATGAATTATTTTGCAGGTACTATTTTTTTCTATTATATGATATATTATTTGTATAGAAATTCTTGAATACATTCAAAGGAAAGTCACGATTATTGCATATCCTTTTTTTACCAGTAAGTGTATTAAGAAAATTGAGCTTAATAATGTTGATACATTTTTCATGTCATTTACAACATTCGTAACTTTGCAAAGATGTATGTGTATATACATTATACTACCACCTCTTTTATAATCTATTACTTCATTCAAAGCATCATTAACTGTAGTTTTTAACTATCATTAGTCATATAATTACATGTTTAAATGATTTGTTAAGTATCAATAACACTTTGTTTTTATATAACCCTATTGATCCAATATATTATAATCCTTAGAAGTAAATAATGTATTTCATTCTCTTTAATTTGTCTCACAAGCATACAGTCACTTAACAAAAAGAACTGTCACCTTCTTTTTAACAGAAAATAATGGAAAATTACTAAAATGTAACAAATAAAAATTCAACTATTTTCCATTATAATAAAGTAATTTCCACTTTCCGTTATAAAAGATGGAATTTATAATTACAATACAAAACCTCCGGTAATTAAAAGAAATAATAGAAACTTGTATGCATGCAAATAAATCATTCAAAATTGCTTATTTGTTCATATAGAACTATTTTATAAAGTACTCTAATATTCAATAACAAACTGAGGTTTCTTTGTTAATTATTTAACATTTCTGAAATAGTTACACGCAAAATTAATAGAGTATCACTTTTTTATTTGATTTTTATCTTATGTAATTTGAGTTTAAAACCAAGTAATTCAGAAAGTACCCCCGAAAGAGCAGACAACAATACCACTTTTGTGATTGTATACAGGTAAGGATTGGCAGATAAACCAGATATTTTAAACGGACTTTCAAGTTCCTGTAAACAATATCGATTAATCAATTTTTGAAAAGACTCTCTATTATATTTACAAATCAAAAAAATAATTGGTATTACCTTTATCAGATCAGCTGCTAATTTGAGTACATTATTTGCTACCATAAGCTCTTCCTTTTTATGTGGTTTTTGTTCTATTTGTAAATATAAATTAATCTAAAAATAAATCAGAATAAAATACTTCAATTTTTTTAAAAGTACAAAATACACATTGCATATTTTAAACATAAAATTCGATTTGCTATAATTACTTGTTCAGTTATTAAGACAGAAAGGTTTCTATATTTTTTATTAATTTTCGTGCCCAATGTCATAAAACGTAATATAAATATCCCAAGAGAAAAGCTCCAAGACAATGCTTCAACGTTATACCGGGAATGCAAACTTTCAAGATCCTGTAAAAATTATGATAATCGCAAAGTCCTTCAATCTTCTCATATTTAATATCTTTTAATTTTTATTCGCTTGTTACCTTTATTAACTCCAAACTCACAAATGACAACAATAATAACGTAACTACAAATACTGCTGATACTATTACGTCTACGGAACGTTGAGGACCCCTTCTCTGTAACAAATTGCATATATTCCTATATCTCCAATAAATTATACTCTATTCTGTAAATATAATAATTCTTTAAAATATATAAATACGAACATATTATAATATTACAACTCACTTTCAAATAAGATCTAACGCTCAACCACAATTTAATATTTCGAACTTTATTTAAACGGAAGTGTGGTAAATCTGACTTTCTTGCGCGTCTCGATGATGTTAAATGTGAAAATAATTTAGCATATAAGAGTCTTTGTTTGTAAGTACGTTCAGCAACTGCTAATAAAAAAAATAATAAAGAAGATAACACGAGCCTCTCGAATGCTGATATAAGCACTATTGTACGTTCCCTAAAACAAAATTAATATATTATTATTGTAAATATTATTTTTGCTGCATGAATATTTTTTAAATCTCTTCTAGTAATATTTTACGTATAACGCTTGAAATTTTATTATTTAATGTAATTATACTTACCAAAACGTTGTTCCAAATGTCAACCCTATCACTTTACATAAAATATCGCTGTACGTTTCCAAATTGACGGAAATCAAATCATTTGGTATTAAGGAACTGGTTAGATTATTACTATTGTCCATCCCCACATGATCACTTAATCGATTGATGGATGGTATTAACGATAAAGCCACGCTAACCATTAGCCCCCCATAAAAATAATTCATATTCTCTGGCATTGATTCTACTCTAGCAATAATTGCTGAACTGATATCTAGCACAGACAAGTCAGCTTTTTTTATATCACGTCGTGTCCATATAGTACATGAAACTGAAAATTAATATTGAAGTACTGTCATGCTGACATATTTACATGGTTATTCAATTTAACCCTTCAACACAATGGCAATTTGTATTGTTGGAAGTATATTATAGTTCACGCAAGGATATATGGGTGACTAATCTGAGGGCAAATTGTAATACTTTTTGATTTAATTAGGTGTATATACATTTTGTAATTTGTGTTTTAGCGATACATGCTTTTTTCCAATCGTCCAATAAATACTCGATGTATATATATATATTACGCCTGTCACTCAGCTGATAACAAGTAGAGTTATTTATTTTGCGTTAAAGAGTTAAATATAAACCATAAAGTTTCATTTGTTATTTCAATATACATTACCACGATCACACGAAGCGCAACTAGAACTAAGCATTATAGAAGGTGGTAATTCAAATTCCCAAGAAAACGGATGTTCCACAAATTCCGAATAATTTTTGCTAGTTTCGCTATGCAAATCAGACTCCTCAAGTTCCGAACTAAAAAAGTATTTGATTAAAATTTTTGTTTTTTGTATCAAGGAAAAATGTAACTTTGTATAATTAAAAGGAATTAATTCTACATAATTATATCTAATCCTGCACCTGTAGCTACATTCATCGCTATTCGTAGTTACTCCCATCCATTCAGTAGCAGATGTTGTAGCTTCAGTCATATGATTTGTAGCGACTTCTTCGCATTCTCCCTCTTCCTCACTTTCACACTGTTGTCGACCTTCTCTCGGTCCAATTATTATAGGAGTCTGTATTTTATCCTTCAAAAAGTAATTTCTGAATTTTTCTATCATAAATTTTCACAAAAAAGATCAAATTTGTATAAAGAATTCAGGAAATAATTATATGAATAATTTCTTATACTTCTGATATAATATTATGGAGTGGAAAAAAGTAGTGGAAAAAAAATAAAATTTCTACCGAATCAAAATTATTTACCATTTTACTAGAAGCTTCCTCTTCGCTTTTCAAAGAATTATCTTCTGCCTTCAACAACTCAAGTGCTGCGTGGAAAGTAAAACTCAATAATCATTTAGCTAATTTGCCATTTTACCTTTTTGACAGAGATTTATGTCAAAAATTCAAAATAAATATAGTATTATGTTACATGTTTAAGTAAATATAGTATATATGTATATATCTATATATACACATTATTAAAATATAACAATATGTTATATTGCCTCTACAGAGTATTTTGTTTCAATACATTACATTTTATCAGTCAAAACGATTGACTAAAAATTGTTGAATCAAACCTGAAAATTTGGGTTGGAGTAAAATTTGTTGACTAGCAGAATCATCGTTATTTTTGTGCAATACATCTCTTTTTTTTTTAGGTTTGTCTAACATTGCGTGTGCAGCTCCTTTATCATTATCGCTTGATACATTTCCATTTAAACTTTCAAATCCATCATCGTCTTGATGTACATTTCTTCCATATGGAAGATTGTCTATGAAGAGAATATATGTAAATATAAATGTGTAACAAAAACAAAAAATATCAATACATTATTATAACATACTAACTTGATTGAACATGACTAGTTGGAGCTTCATTCGTAAGAAGAGGATTGCTCACAACCATATTAATTAACTCATTATTACAAGATGCTTGAACATTGATAAATTCCTTTAAAAACAAAGTAGCATTAAGACTACTTCTCAAAATCTAATACTCACAAAGTAATGAATTATAATTACCTGAGACTTACTAATAGTCAAGGAATTTTCAATTTCAACTTTCTTTGCAAATCGCACAGAAGTTAATGCTTCGCCACTCACTGTACTAGTTTTCTCAGAACCACTATCTTGAAATGATTTGGAATCTTCGTGTAAACCTAGAAAATGTGCAATAAATTAATAACTAATCACACAGATTATGTAACTCATAGGAACATAATTTACGTAGATTATGTCTTGTTCTTGATTTTCCCAATCTACATCTAGAGTGTCTCGAACGCCTAATTACTCTCTGTTTACTATGCCCATTGGTCATAATCGGACCTGAATGAGTTGATACAATATGGGAATGAACAATGCACAAAGTAAGCATCATAATAGCAGGTATTAATACTTCTGACATGGTCACAACCTAAAATAAAATAAATCTTATTTAGTAAATATTTATATGCACTCAAGAAATAAATATGATTTCGTACATCACTTTCATTGTCATTTGACATCTGATAAAAATATATACACATGTTGATCAACTGTAAACTATACAGCAATAAAAATAATGTAAAAATTTTTAAACTAGTCTGTTGTGTCCACCATTTTCTATATAAAGGGAGAAATAATAGCCTTTTAAGCGCCAAGCAAGCTACTGTAGATAATCCATGCTTCGGCTTAGTTTTTGGGAAAGAAGAACCTACAATGAATTATTGCTAATTACTGATTCACGGTTACTAACTAATATTTATTAACTATTTATTTACATAGTTAAATATTTTAACGATGATTAAATAATTCATAAGACACTTCTTCAATCGTTTACCTCGCACAAGGTCCACATCGATCAGTTCTGTTTTAAGTTTTGCAGTTCTCATTGGAACATGTGTGAACCCCCCTAATATATGTTGTTCTACAGTTTTTTCCCATTGTTGCTTATCGTAAGTACCAATTTTCTTCTGATACCTAAAATAAGAAAGTCATCTGTTACATAGAGTGTACTTTGGCACAACCAAATTTCTTTCACTATGTAACATTTAAGTACAATGTTTCTTACCAATGTACCAGTTCATTTAATTTCATTTTTTTTCAATTGCTATCGCAGTCCTACAGTATCACTATTGATTTTTAATTTTGCCCGATAATTGGACTTGTCCGAATAAACGGAAGATAATTTTCCGTGTACTTTTGTTAGTGAGTATAAAGAAAATGTTGCTTCCATAATATATAAGGAACAATAACTGGTAAAAACTTTTTATTTCACGTTATTTAAACAGTTGAAAAACACGAAGCACGAATGACGTTCGTGATGCATTTATTAATTTTCACGTCATTGTAAAAAGTGTATGATTATTTAACCGATTCTTGATAACAATTGTAACACTGAAATATCAGTATTGTCTTAATTTATAAGTATTTACTAATCAAATTTAATGCGATGATTATCCTACGTCCTCACACAACTGGCAATATCAATTCTATTCCTTGTCGTCACTACCGTATCATTAATACTCGGATCCTGTTCAAAAAAGTTACTACTGTCATCCGCTGTAATAACCAATCCAATGATAATAAATCCGGTAAAACAGTTTTCATTGGTTATCATGTATATTTTGTAGTTTTAAAATTTTTTTTCAAAATTTATTAAAGCAAATTTTTAAAAACGTACATTAAATATCTTCATTGTGATTCTTTATTATATTTTCCAAATTTCGAGAATTACGGTGTAATCATAACTTTAGTATAGTAAATCTTTTTTTTAGTCATAATTTATTCAATTTTACAGTATATTTAACTTGAACATGCATAATACAATATTATGATGTAAAAAAATTATATACGTATTGATTAATTTCATTATTTTCAACTATTAACACGATAATATTTTTAATATTTAAATACGATAAAAATTCTACATAGAATTATAACGCGTAAAGAACCATACATTATTTGTTATCTTAATAAAACATTTTTTATATGAACAGTATTTATTTATTTCATCGTGACGTGGTGCATATGTACCTATCTCTACATGTGAAAGCAGCATGTCCCGAGTAATGTCAAATGAATACATATACGTAACGATTAAGAACAAGTTACGTAGCCTACCTACAGAAATGCCGGTTTTTAAGATATTTAATATTATTATTAAGTAATATCACGTTTTAAACGAAACTATTTCATTTGACACATGCATTTCTAACGCAATACCAAAATATAACATTATTTGAAAAGATCTTCGGAATGTCTGTTCTTAGTGTAGGATTACTTTTCGGTCTTTTATCTTCGGTAAATGGAGTACGTGAGTACGAGAAGAAAGATTTAATCGCTTTAAGGGAAGAAGTGCGATCGATGTTTGACCATGCTTATTCGAGCTACTTGGCATATGCTTACCCTTACGACGAGCTACGTTCCTTAAGTTGCGATGGATTTGATACATGGGGCAGCTTCTCATTAACGCTCATCGATGCTTTGGACACCCTTGCTGTAATGGGCAACTTTTCCGAATTTCGACGAGTGGCAGAAATAATAAGTGGTAGAGCTAATTTTGAAGCCAATATAAATGTATCCGTATTTGAAACTAACATTCGAGTAGTTGGAGGATTACTCAGCGCTCACTTATTGTCACGAAAAGCAGGTGTCAATCTAGAACCAGGGTGGCCTTGTAACGGTCCCTTACTGCGGCTTGCAGAAGATATGGCTAAACGATTAATTGCAGCTTTTGACACTCCAACAGGAATGCCATATGGTACAGTTAATTTAAAATATGGAGTACCTAAAGGTGAAACTAGTATTACATGTACTGCTGGCATAGGTACATTCTTGTTGGAATTTGGAACTTTATCTAGATTAACTGGAGATCCGCTATATGAAGAAGTAGCCTTAAATGCTATTAAAGCATTACATTATTATAAATCAAACATTGGACTCGTTGGTAACCATGTAGATGTGTTAACTGGTCATTGGACAGCTCAAGATTCAGGGATTGGTGCTGGTGTGGATTCTTATTTTGAATACTTAGCAAAAGGTACTTTATTATTTCAAGATCCATTGCTGGCAACTATTTTCCATGAACATAAAGCAGCCATTGAAAAGTATATTCGTCGAGCGGATTGGCATTTATGGGTTTCTATGACAAAAGGTCAAGTAACCTTACCAGTGTTTCAGTCTTTAGATGCTTATTGGCCTGGAGTTCTGAGCCTTTTTGGAGAAATTGGAGATGCTATGAAATCATTGCATAATTATCATCGTGTTTGGAAACAATTTGGATTTACTCCAGAATTTTATAATATTCCACAAGCTGAAGCAGGCACTAACAGAGAAGGATATCCATTAAGGCCAGAACTCATAGAATCAGTTATGTATTTATATAGAGCAACAGGTGATCCATATTTGATACAAGTAGGAGTGGACATATTAAGAAGTTTGCAACACAGTGCTAAAACTACATGTGGCTATGCAACTATAAATGATGTTAGAGACCATAGAAAAGCAGATAGAATGGAGTCTTTCTTTTTAGCAGAGACAACAAAATATCTTTATCTCCTATTTGATTCTGATAATTTTATACATAATTCAGGTCAGAAAGGGGATGTTATTGAAACACAATGGGGTCAATGTATCGTAGATGCAGGGGGATACATTTTCAATACTGAGGCACATCCTATAGACCCTGGAGCACTGTATTGTTGTCATCGAAGTCAAAATTTGTTTTCTGAAGAAAAGGCAACATTGTGGAAATTCATCCCAGTGAATGAACAAAAAGAGGAGGAAGATGTTGAGCAGAGTAGCTCATACCATGAAGACATCAAAGAAAAAAATAATGAAAGACAGCCAATTAAAATTGTTAAACTGTCTGAAATAAAACATGCCTTTATTAATGATATAGAGAATAGTATAAATAAAAATTCAGTCAATCCTGTGCCCCCCATCAATTACAAGACTGATGATGTTGTTACAACTGAGGAGAAAGATAACTTAAATATAGATACTCCAAATCCTGAATCATTGAAAGTACAAGTTGTTGCACCTCCTTCAGTAATATATAAAGTTGATGACAGTGAAAATATTGATACTTTTGAAACACCTTCTACACCCGATGAACATTATTCTACACCTGTTGTAGGAAATAACACGGAACCATATATTAAGCAAACTCATATAAAAACAATGAGATTTGAACCACAAATATTATTAGAGAATATTAGGAAAAGAAATTTATATCCTACAAATGTTACTGCAAAATTAAATTATCATATGTTATCTTGTCAATCTCAATCATTTCTGCAACGAATATCAATTGTAGGAGAATTTTTTTAATGTTATTTAAACAATGTTACATATCACAAATAGATTGTTCTTATTTAAAAAACCTACAAATGAAAAAACCTATATTCCTATGAATTTTAATAGTAATTATTTAAAAATAAATTCTTAAGCTTAAGTAAATGTGCAATAGAACTTAAAAAAGTTAATAAAAGTAAGAAATATTTTTTGGTAACATTTTATTTTCTATTATTACAGTATCTCCTTTTGAATATCCCGCTATAATTCCAATCAATATATTTTTTAAGCATA